TTGTTATTCTGGTAGAATCGGTATTCACTTATTAGGGGAAAATTGGAAGCACAGTAAAAATTCGGAATACAAGTTTTGATTGCCACTCATCGACTGATCTGGTGAAATATCGTAAGGTGTAATTGGCTCCAACAACGGTCTCATTCAAATAGTTTGTATCGGACGACATCAAAAACAGTTGACTGAAGAGCCTAGCTAACAGTGTCTGCAAACAACTTGCATCTCAATGAGATTCATAGTCAGGTGATCGCGAGATCGTTTTGGTCACCTGATAGCTGCACACTAAGTAACCATGAAAACAGCGGTAGAGTATGAATAAACCCGTCGAAATCAAGTTACTGTTTAGACCGGAAATCCACGGCAAAAATGCCAAGTATATTCTAACAAAAATTGTATACCCATTCTGTTTCATTTAGCTGAATATTTATGGGAGCCTAGACGTTTGGGGACGGCACAACACTCAGGCAATTTCATTCAATTATATTTATATGTTATTTTTCGAGGAAAAAATAAAACATTTTGGTTCAGCTAGAATAACGAAAGACTATTTTGGTGTTTTTGACTAAACATTTCCTAAAATAGAACAGTTTTCACTTTTAAAAGATTGACACGTGTTAAATATGAGCAAATGGATATAGTTCGTTCCATTGGCCCAAATTTGGATAAAATCAGAATCACGAAACGAATCGACCGGTATGGGAAAACCATACTTTCTTAGACAAAACCACATTTAGCCTGTCGCGTAATCATTCTCCATAAAAAGGCAGCTTTACGTGCAGATCATCTGATTTACAAACAGGCTGGATTCAAAGAAAATAAAGGCATTTAAATTACATTATTTATTTCTGGAACAGAAGACCTAGGTAGATCTTCGTTGTTTGATTGCTCACAACCTAAAGTAAAATCACGCTTTATAGGGTGGCGTATCCGTATACATCCAGTGAGCCCTCTGAGTCACCCTGTTTTAGTTTCCCTCAAATTTATGATGAATCTGATTTATTCTGACTCTCGTGCATTACGTAAACGACTGAGGAAAAAAAACAAAATGCTTAAATCTGGAAACATTTGCTGCTTAATTTTTTTTTGCTCTCTTCGAAAGATCCATACGATTGTGTGGATTGAATATCTTTCTCTTGTCCTAAACGATCACATCGCATGAAGGAACTGGCGTACCAAGCCAGAGTGTCAGCTAATTACAGTCCAATAGAACAAAGTATGAAGTTAACCGATCAATTGCTGTGTATAGACAGGCTCAATCAACCACTGAGCTGTTGCGAAAAACGAACGTTCCCATAATCATCTGGAACAAAACGTCGACATAAACTGAATCAAAACTTTATCAGAAACTATTATATTTAAGTTGGTGAAACTGTGTGAATATCAGTACAAGCGTTCTTGAATTTCTCATTGAGCGAATCGATATCTTCAATGAAATAAGCTCAATCAATAATGAAAAAGTGAATCGAAAGGCCTACAACCTATTCCGTTAGAGGAGTGTGTTGTGATACCAACTCCCATACGCTCAGATTTGTGAAATCAGTGCTTAACCCGGAAAGAGGTTCATAATTGTCAGTGAGTAGTAAGCAACACACCGGGTAACACAGTTATCTGTCCAATAGCTTGTCCTTCATCTGCACTGAAAGTGTTCTAAACACAAGTAATACACAAGTTGTTCAGGAAGCGTTAAGTAAATGACATATTTACTGTAGTGTGCGATCCACCTTGGATGCCCTTGCATCAATGGTAGGTTATACATGACCCTCAATTGGCAAGTGGAAATCAGCAAAACTGCTTCCTGGACTACAAAGATACGATCGCTACTGTTTGCAGAGATAATCATCTACCCATTCTGACCGATTTGACGATCGCGTCTCCAATGCGCAGACTCGTTCGAAGGTCATCAGCAGTTTATGCGTCATCGTGTCCCTGCTCTTCAACTCAAGTCAAGGCATCACTTTGTACACCCAGGGGGGGTGGTGGATATTCAGCAACCACAACCATGTCAACAATAAAGGTTAAGAAATATAATACAGCAATTTAAAAAGTGAACCAGACAACAATATTACAACACCACTGACATACAACAATGTTTATCATTGGTTTAGATTAGGAATCTGCGCAGATTTTCTGCAACGAGTTCATAGCTTGTGAGAAATCTGGCGTGATACAGGTCAACAGAGCGCCTGTAAGCTTCAGTGCATACCTTTACAAGTTTAAAAATAGAACAAGCGGATGAATAAGCAAGGTACTGATTAAGAGAAGAAGGATAAGAAGGATACAATCGAATTGCATTCGAATGTAAAATCGCCTTGTTAAAGGTTACCCACCGTAACCGAAACGCAGGCTTATTCTCATCTGTACAGACATCGCTGTGTTTTCAAAATTACAACTTATATAAAATCTCAGAGAATGTTTTACAGGCCTTGAGGTGGCGTGTCACTACATGCTGCGCCAGAAGTTCCCGTGGTATAATACTACATATCGACAGAAAATTAAGCAATCGGGAGATGAGTTAGTAGTTCCACTTAAAAAGACCAAGATAACAGGGGAACCGTAAAGCCAGTGGGGCAAAACGCAAGCAAAATGATGGGTAAAATGATTTCAGAGGCTGAACATAATACGTGATTCTCGTGATCTTCGTAAAAACGTTATTGATGTGGTCAGATAAAGTGAGATTACGCTTGAAAATAACATCTGGTCATTCAAGATAAA